GTCTGCTGTAAGCAGCCTAGCTAATGTGGAGGCTGCAAACTGCTTCACTGGGGTCTGTGGCTAGCTATTTGGAGCTAGTCTCCCTTCCCACTCCCTTGCTGTCCAAAGAGAAAGCAGCTCAGCTGTAGGGCCTGTGCAGAGGCAAGATGGAGATAAGGGAACACAGGGCAGCTCCCTCCCCGGCCTGTGGCTCTGCCACAAAACACATCCCAACCTCGTGCAACATTTATATCTGGGCTCGGAGGGGACCTGCACACCAGGCTCACTGTGAGGTGCAGCCCTGGGGCCCCAGGAAGCTGCTGAGTACTCACTGCATCTCAGGGGACTGGAAACACCCTGCTGGTGCACCCCACAGGCTATGCCTGAGCAGCCCCACATGGGCCAGGCCGCGGTTGCCATACTGATTATTCGCTTAATCATTGTAATTACAACAGATTAAACAGATATTGTTTTTAAGAATCAGTATTTATACCTCTACTGTCAACACAGCAACCCATAAAATCCCACAAATCTACAAGCAAATGTTCACGCCACTGTACCTGCAAAGCTAAGTACCATTTGCTTTCAGCATCATGGCATCTTCTCCTATGCTACTCTGTACTGCTGTAGTGTCAGAACATACAAAGCCACCCAAACCAAAAATCTCAAATGAAACAACGCAAGACAAAAAACACCCTTTATTCAATTTTTTAAAACAAAGCTAGCATTTTTTAAGATAACTTCTTTCAAATTTGAGAGAAATGCATGTTTTTCATTTTTTTTTTCTTATAGAAGTGGAAAACAAAAATAAAAAAAAGTTACAGGACACTACTGTCCACCCCTCTTGTCACTACCTTAAGGGCTGGAGTAATCTGGTACCATCCCATTAGCCTCTATCACAGCCTTAAGATTTGAAAAAGAGTACATTAGAAAGAACTGTTTGTCAATCACTAATGACCACCATCAAATACCTACTGCCTTCTTCCCAATCCTCATTATCCTAAATAAAGGACCTTACCAGCCCATTGTTGCTCCAGTATTCACTTCTCATTGCCCCTTTCATCACCACAGAGCAACAGTCTGATGTGCTATAACACTGTATAACAGTTTAAAGTAACCCTTAAATATGAGCCAACCTCTACATGGAATAGAGCATGTTGGAGAATTCTATCTATAGAAGGTTGGAGACTTGTAGATCTACAGTGCATCTTCATAGCCATCATCATTTAACATTCTTTTTTCTGGTCAGCTGTCCAGCCCTATTCATGTATTACAAGTGCTTAATTTTCTTTGGGGGGGGGGGGGGGGGG